TCTTCGCGAGGCGGCCTCAGCGCGCACTCGTTTGGTGACTTTTAGACTGTGATGTATGCATCTTGCCTTGGAGCCTGTGGAGCTCAAGTTCTTGGCTGGTTCTTTCTTCCTTTGTGAGTGGTGCCATGGCGAGTCAGCCGAAACGCCCTCGCAGGCAGCAGGGCGCTGCGCAGTCCAAGGAGATCACGATGACCAAGCTCTTGACCGCCCATGAGTCCTCTTTAGAGAAGGTGAAAGCTGCTCTCGTGGTGTTTCTCTTCGTCCCTCAGGTAATTAACGACGCCATCGAGAAGGCCGCCAAGGGTTGGAAAGACCGCAACACCCCTGGGCAACCGCGTCCGGACAACTGCAGTTGCACAACCGTGCGGTTGAAGACTTTGCTGGATGGCATCAACGAGGCTCTCAAGGCATCGCCGCCGCTGCTGCAGACGACTCCTGATGCTGTGCAGAGCCTCACGCGCTTGACTGAAGTTGTCAAGGCTGGCCGATCTGATTTGCTGGTGGCGGACATCACGTTGCGGATCGCAGGCAGCCGTACAGCTGCGCAGTCTCCTTATGAAATCACTTTGACTTCTTCCCAGGAAGGGCTGTCGCTGATCACGCAGCCGGGAGCACCTCCGGCCAATACCAAGGACAATCCTGTCAAGTCGTGGGAACTTCGAGCCTACCGCCCGGCGCGGCGCGGGCCCCTGATGCAGGCTTTGCATGCGTGAGTGCGCGGAGAGGGTGGCCGCAGTGCTGCCCTCTCCCCGCCGTCAGTTAATGTGCCAGCGCGGTGGGGAGCTGTTGTGCAGTTCCGCCAGTCGCGCTTCTGGTGCGCTGCTTGGACGAGGGTGGACTTCTTCCATGTCGGTGACCTCGTTTTCCTCATTTTCCATTCAGTTTTGGTTTTTTTTTGGCATTGCCGCCGACTTCTTTCAGGTCAGGCCCTTCGGGGCTTAGTGCCTCTACCTACCTACCTACCGCAGGCGGCTTGGGATTGTTGTTCTGACTATCGTATTAATCCAAAGTATCTGCACACAAAACTAAGGTACATGTGATACTATGAGACCTTGCTTTACTAGTATAAGACTGTACGCTTACACTCTTATAAGATTATGCGGTAGATATATTAATAATGTGCTATTAAACTAATATTGAACTAATATACTATTATACGATTATACAATTATACTGTAATACTATTTGCTATTATATTATTATACTACTATACGATTATACGATTATGCTATTATACGATTATACCATTAGATTATTGTGCGACAATGCGATCACACGATTTTACGATAATACGAGCGATCATACTGTATTCTACTAGATGAGCATACTCTTTTACTACTTTACGAGTATACTATTCTGCTATTATAATATTCTACCCCAAATCCCAGAACCCGAAACCCCAAGCCCGAAACTCGAAACCCGAAACCCGAAACCCCAAACCCGAAACCCGAAACCCCAAACCCCAAACCCGAAACCCCAAACCCCAAACCCCAAACCCTAAACCCTAAACCGTAAACCCTAAACCCAAACACCCTCTGCCACTCAAGCCTGAGAGGGAACCCCCAGGAGCTGCTTGAAGGAAAGCTCCCAAACGCGGGTATCCTGAAGGGTTTAGGGTTCCTAGATACCCTAAACCCTGAGCCCTAAACCCCACGAACCCCCTAAAGCCCCACAAGCCCCATAAACCCCTTCAACCCCATCAGCCCCCCCAGAAACCCCGTTAGGGGTATCGGTATGTTCCTAAAGTAGGGGTACCCCTAATGCGCCCCAAAGTTGAAGAATCCTGAGGGGACCCACCAAAAAGGGCACCCATGTTTTTAACAAGTCTTTCGCAGGAACCTGGACATCGAGCGTCCCACGTACACCAACCTCAACCGCCTCATCGCTCAGATCATCTCGAGCTTGACGGCGTCCCTGCGCTTCGATGGAGCCTTGAACGTGGACATCACGGAGTTCCAGACGAACCTGGTGCCCTACCCGCGTATTCACTTCATGCTCACGTCCTACGCCCCGGTCATCTCCGCCGAGAAGGCCTACCATGAGCAGCTGTCTGTGGCTGAGATCACCATGTCCGTCTTCGAGCCCGCTTCTATGATGGTGAAGCCGCCCAGACTGCATGAAGAATAATGCATCGCGTTCGCTTCGCTTGATGTGATCGCCGAAATCAAGCATGACAGCGTGCATAAGTGGTTGCAATGGCCATTGAGGTGCGATCCTCGTCACGGAAAGTACATGGCCTGCTGCATGATGTACCGCAGGGAGCTAAGAAAGAGTCCTTCATGCATCATGACAGATCAGAGTTTTGTGTTGCAAGTTGCAAGGTGTAGGCACCTTGGGGCAGTTGCGAACGATGCCCCCTCGTGCCTCAGGCGGCGACGTGGTGCCCAAGGATGTGAACGCAGCCGTGGCCACCATCAAGACGAAGCGCACCATCCAGTTCGTGGACTGGTGCCCCACCGGCTTCAAGTGTGGCATCAACTACCAGCCGCCCACTGTCGTGCCAGGCGTGGGCACACAAGAGCTTTTATGGGCTAGGGTCTAGGGTTGAGGGTTTGGGGCTTAGGGTCTCGGGTTTTAGGGTTAAGGGTATGCAACGCACGCGGAGAGTGTCCCCTTTTCTTGTAGTTGTAGTGGGTGCCCCAAGCAGCGATGGGTTGATTTCAACCAGCTTGCGAGCTCAGGGCTCGGATGGTTTCTTGAGCTTACGGCTGTAGGGTTCAGAGCGGAAATTCCAGCCCTAAGCAGCCTAGACTCATGAATCCTACACTTACACCCCCCATACCGAGTTCCCTAAACCCTAAACCCCAAACCCCAAAAAGCCTGCCAGGTGGCGACTTGGCCAAGGTCATGCGTGCTTGCTGCACCTGAGACCCGCAATTGAGCCCCACAAGCCCTAAAACCTACTGAAGTCGCCTTCACAAGCACGCCCTAAACCCTAAACCCTAAACCCTAAACCCTAAACCCGAAACCGTGAACCCTAAACCCCCCCATACCGGAAGCCCAGGCATGATCTCCAACTCGACGGCCATTGCCGACCCTCCGTTGCAGCGATTGGGCGCTTGGGGCGTTTGGGGTTTGGGGTTTATAAGGGCTTAGGGTTTAAAGAGCCGTGAACCCCAAGCCCTAGATTTTTAGTGCCGGCCGAAAACCCGGAACCCTAAAATCTCCACAATCCTATACCCGAAGACCTAAGTACCCCTAAACCCTACTGCCCCATGTTGCAAGTTGTGGCATTGGGTTTCAGAGTACCCAGGCTTGTTCGCAGCAGGGTCTTGGGGTTAGTTTTTCAAGGGTCAGGTTTTGGAGTTTGGGGGTTGAGGTTTTGGGGTGTCGGGTTTTTGGGGGCATGTGAGGAAGTCTTCTCGCGCATCGACCACAAGTTCGACCTCATGTACTCGCAGCTCGCCTTGCCTTGGATCGCTTCTGAGGCAGTGTGCAGTCTTGAACCTCATCGAAGCTTCCGAAACCCTAAACCCTGCAACCTACACCCCAAGCCCTAAACCCAAACCCAAAGCTTGACTTCCGAATATAAGGGCTCTAGCCCCCAACCCCACTTTGTTTTCTTCGATCAGGCCCGGGTCCTCCCCCTCAGGCTTCGAGAATTTTACCCTACACCCTAAACCCTAAACCCTAAACCCTAAACCCTAAACCCTAAGCCCGAGACCCTCAACCTCCCGAACCCTAAACGCCAAATACTAGAACGCTCAGCCGCTCAGCCCGCAGCGCCCAGGAAGCGCGCCTTCGTTCACCACTATGTTGGCGAAGGACCGCTCCGGGTTTAGGGTTTAGGGTTTGGGGTTTGGGGTTTAGGGTTTAGGGTTTACAAACGCAGCTTGTAAACTCGAAGCCGTAAACTGTCGGGCATGAACGTGGAGGGCTTGGGAGGTGTCAGATGTCGCGCGTAAAAATCTTAGGAGTTGGGGTTCAGGACTTGGGGCGTTGTGGAAAGGTTCAGGGTGTAGGGTTTAGGGTGGTTCAGGATCCCAACTGAACTCCTCGCCCCCTAACTCAAGGGTGGTTAGAACTGGGGTTATAGTTGTAAGTAGGGTATCTAGACCTGCAATGGGTCAAATCCTATTTGAGGTACTGACAACCCTGCTTGCATTTATACACATGAACCTTCAATCAAGCCTTCAAGCAGCCGCAGGGTTTGAACTGTAAGCCCTGGAGATCTTGAATTTTTGTTTAGGGTTTGGAGTTTAGGGTTTAGGGGGAAGCCCCTACTTTTTTTGTTTATTATAGCAGGGGGTTCACTTATGTACAGATCCCCCCCAAAAAGGTGCCCCAACTTCAACAACCCTCCAAACTGAGCAGGCATGGAGGAAGGCGAGTTCTCTGAGGCTCGCGAAGACCTGGCGGCCTTGGAGAAGGACTACGAGGAGGCCCGCGAGAACATCTAGGGTTACTCTAAACGCCTACATGAAAGCCCAAACTCGAAGCAAAAGCTGTTTTGGCCCCCCCAACTGAGCGCCCCAAGCAAAGCCACGATGTTGGAGCTAACCCTAAACCCTAAACCCTAAACCCTAAACCCTAACCCCTAAACCCTAAACCCTAAACCCTAAACCCTAAACCCTAAACCCTAAACCCTAAACCCTAAACCCTAAACCCTAAACCCTAAACCCTAAACCCTAACCCTAAACAACCCTAAACCCTGAACCCTAAACCCTAAAGCCTAAACCCCTTGTGTTTGCAGGTGGGCATCGAGACCGCGGAGGGAGAAGGTGAAGAAGAGGGCCCCCTGGGCAAAAGCTAGTGCTAAGAGATTTGGGGGGTTCCGAGTTCCTAAGTTTTAAGGATTTTAAGGGACACCTATTGCTGGGGGTCCGAAAAAACAGTAATTGTCCCTTAACATCGGGTTTAAGGTTTCAGAGTCAGCCCTGAATGGCCGGTATTTGAATTTGGTCCATGGCTCTTGTGCCGTTGTGACGACATTTTGCCACAGGAGGCTGGCACGACGCGCTAACACCACAACAGCAAACCGTAAGCGCTCGGCAGCTAAGGCTACGGCGACGAGTTCTGAGCAGCTGCTCTCTGCAGAGAAGCGTTCCCACGGTGGTCGAATGCCCATGAACTGATGAGCATGACAACATTGAAGACGGGCCAGATATCATCAGAGTGATGTAGGGTTTAGGGTTTAGGGTCCTAAGCCTTAGGTGCTTGTGATGTGCAGTGTTCGTTGCCGGCCTCCTTGGGGGATGTCTGCGGCCGCGGTTTGCGCTACATGCGCGCAGATCGCTCCTTGCAACCTTTGGGCCAGGGGGGAAAACAGGACCGACCCGCTTGGGGATTCAGGGTTTTGGGAGGTGTTTAGTTGAGGGTCAATGATTCCCGGGAGTTGAATCAGTAGCGCAAACGGTTGACTTTAGCAAGCTGCGCTGCGTGAAACCCTGTTGTGTCATTCCTCTGTCGGATCAGGCTTTACCTAAACCCTAAACCCTTCAGACCTGCTGCAGATTGCTTTTCGGGTTGGAGCCCGTACTAGCCTTCGGCTACTACGGGAACCTCCCCGATGGCCGCAGGAGTGCACTCTCCCAAATATAAGTTGTTTTAGTGTTTAGGGTTTAGGGTTTAGGGCTTGCAGTCTACTACCTTCGCAAACCCCCCATATGAAGGCTAAACCCTGAAACCCTAAACCCTAAACCCCAAACCCCAAACCCTCCGAACACTAAGGTGGCAGGGTCGGCCGTCCCAGCTTCACCGAAGCTTCACGTCTCGCCCCTGGAGATCGCCTGGATGCCCAGCACTCGTCACTAAGCTTTCGGGGTTTTAGGGGTGTAGGGTTCAGGGGTTTAGGGCTTAGGGTTTAGGATTTAGGGTTTAGGGTCTAGGGTTGAAAGGGAGCGACCCTGAAACCCTGAAACCCTAAAACCCTCAAACCTTAAAACCCTAAAAGCCACAACCCTCAAACTCTTCAACCCAAAAACCCTAAAACGCTAAGACCCTGAAACCCTAACACCCGACAACCCTAAAGCTCTAAAACCCTGCAGCCCTAAAACCCCACAACCCTAAAACCCTACAGCCCTAAAACCCTGAAACCCTAAACCCTAAACCCTCAGAGCCCAAGCTACTGTAGGAGCCTTAATAATTAGAACAGGGTTTGTGGTTATTATAGCCCAATTATGACGGGACCAGAAGGGAACATCATTACTAATTATTTCGACCCCTAAACCCCAAAACCCTAAACCCGAAACCCTAAACCCTAAACCTTAAACCCTAAACCCTAAACCCTAAACCCCAAACCCTAAACCCTAAACCCCCAGGCTCGGCTTCCCTTGCTGCAGTTTCCGGGGCGGATCGTTGTCATCTCCAGCCCAGAGGACGCGGATGTGTCGACCCCCGGTGGTTTTAGGGTTGAGGGTTTAGGGTTTAGGGCTAGGGTTTAGGGCTAAGGGTTTAGGGTTTGGGGTTTGGGGTTTGGGGTTTGGGGTTTAGGGTTAAGGGTTTAGGGCTAAGGGTTTAGGGTTTAGGGTGGTTAGGGTTCGGGGTTTGGGGTAGGCGGGGTTTGGGGTTTAGGGGTTTGTGGAGTTTGTTGGGGGGTGTTTGAAGCTTTTGTGGTTTTTGAGATTTGCGATGTTTAGGGGTTCTAGTCTTGGAACTCCTTCAACAGCATTTGCTGGGTTGCTGCTATGGAAGTTCAAGGTAAGTTGCCAGAGCGTCAAGATCAAGCAGTCAGTAGACAGTAAAGCCTAAGCCCTACACCCTACACCCTACACCCTAAACCCTAAACCCTAAACCCTAAACCCTAAACCCTAAACCCTAAACCCTAAACCCTAAACCCTAAACCTTAACCCCTGAGGTGTCAACTTTGCGCCTGTTTCATAAACAGCAGCAGTTTTGTTTTCAAGAAAGATCTAGGGCCCGGGCCGCTAGTTCGGAGTAAGGGAGTTCGGGGGATGTGAGACCTACGTATGATGCAAACCCGAATCCCAAACCCAGCTTTTTTGCGGGAACCCGGGGTTTCTTTTCATGAAAAGGGACCCGGAAACCCTAAACCCTAAACCCTAAACCCTAAACCCTAAACCCTAAACCCTAAACCCTAGACCGGTTCATTTTGGGTTTTGAGGTTGAGGGCTTCAAGGGTTCCCATTCCTCGGCACAGCATGCCAGGAGGAGCAGCGAGTAGAGGAGCTCTTCAAGGGTGAGGTGGGGGCGGGGGCAGATGCTGAGGGGTTTAGGGCTAGGGTTTAGGGTTTAGGGTTTAGGGTTTAGGGTTTAGGGTTTAGGGTTTAGAGTTTAGGGTTTAGGGTTTAGGCTTTGGGGTTCAAGGTTTAGGGAATTATGGGTTTAGGGTGTTTAGGGCACTTGGGCTCCAGACCCTCAATCCGAAGCCGCTGACCCTGAAGGTAAGACTGTTCAGGGTTAGGGTTCAGGGTTTCAGGTGAAGGGTTAGGGACCTCTTGAACCCCAGGCACCCCATGGGTTTAAACTCTCCTACATGTTGGGGTCCTGAAGGGAGGGGGTTTATGGGGGGTAGGTACCCAGAAAAATCTCAGGGAAGCTGAGGGAGCCTTAGGGAGGAGTGGGGAGTATCAGGGCCTTGGTGCCAGGTTGCATACCCGTTTATCCTGTGCCCCTCAAGCTTCGGTTTTGGGTTTCGGGTTTGGGGTTGGGTTTGGGGTTTAGGGTTTAGGGTTCAGGGTTCAGGGTTCAATGTTCAGGGTTTAAGGTAGTTGTCCAGCAGGTAACATTTGGCTTGCTTTGGGCCTGTTGAAGCCCGTACACAATCCCAAAACTTAGCCGGTGAAACGCCTAACCCCAAAACCCTGAACACCCGCACGCCTCCAGCTGAAACCGTCGGCCGGAACCCTGCCAGCGATTTCAGGGTTCAGGGTTTCGAGCTGCGTATGTACTCGTTAGAGGGTTCAGGGTTTAGGTGTCGACACGCTTCTTCCGGCAACAGCAGACATGTATTCGACAAGAACCTCGCCCTTGTCAAACCTCGTAAATGACCTGCTGGTATCGCTGCAAAGGGCATGCGCATGAAGCGCAGCAAGGAACTCTCCCACCGTCCTACAGCCGCCCAAGCTCCCGCTTCGGCACCCTCAAGAAGGATTCAGGCTTTAGAGCTTGGGGTTTGAGGGCGCAGAAACTTCTTAAATCCTAAACCCTAAACCCTGATCCCCCGAACCGAAGAGTTTAGATCAAGCACCCCCAGTGGCTTCCCAGTTTCCAGGTGCTGTTGGGCTTCGATTCCGAGAGCCGCCCAAGCTCTGCGCTGGCCCAGAAGAACAGGCATTTAGGGTTTAGGGTTTAGGGTTGAGGGTTTACGGTTTAGGGTCAGACTAAGGTTGGGTGGCTGTCGCAATCTCTTTGTGGAAAGCAAAGTGCAAAGCAAAGCAAGACGCTCAAGTGCCCAAAATGCTTTCAGGGTTTGGGGTTTAATTTTTAGTGGATGTGTGTACAGGGCCCTTTTATCACGAAGAAGATCCCATGGTTTAGTTTAGGGTTTAGGGTTTAGGGTTTAGGGTTTGGGGTTTAGGGTTTGGGGTTTAGGGCTTAGGGCTGAGGAGCCGAGCATTCCTTGGGGAGCGCCAGGATCGCGCTGATCCAAGTCGCCTCGGAGAAAGCCCCCTGGCCCATTTAAGGTGCGTCCCTAAGCCCTAAGCCCTAAGCCCTAAGCCCTAAGCCCTAAGCCCTAAGCCCTAAGCCCTAAGCCCTAAGCCCTAAGCCCTAAGCCCTAAGCCCTAAGCCCTCAGCCCTAAGCCCTAAGCCCTAAGCCCTAAGCCCTAAGCCCTAAGCCCTAAGCCCTAAGCCCTAAGCCCTAAGCCCTAAGCCCTAAGCCCTAAACCCTAAACTAAACCCTAAACCCTAAACCCTAATCCAGTCACATTACTCTTCATGTAGAGTTTAAGGCTTAGAGTTTGGAGTTTTCGGCTTTGGGGGCGTAGCCCATGGACCCTAAACCCTTAACCTTAAACCCTAGACCCTAAACGCCTGGGGTCAAGGTTGCCCGCTGGAAGCAGAAGAGACTGTTTGGGTTTGGGATCTCAGCCTGGAAGCTAAGACCCCTAAACCCTGAACCCTAAACCCTAAACCCTAGACCCTCAACCCTAAACCCTAGACCCTCGACACTAGACCCTAGACCCTAGGCCCTAAACCCTAAACCCTAAACCTCGGCTCATCTGAGCAACCCGAGCCCGAACTGCCCCCTACTAGCAGACCCGCGGACCCCGACACCTTCGGCACACCCCGAAAACCCCTAAACTTCGAACTCTGCAGCCCCTTGAGCTGGAGTTCCAGACTGCCCCCTCGAAACCCTAAACCCTAAACCCTAAACCCTAAACCCTAAACCCTAAACCCTAAACCCTAAACCCTAAACCCTAAACCTGAAATCCTTAAACCCTAAACCTCGCACTAGGTGGCCTGCCTTTGGCGGCTGGGAGACTTGAGGCGACGTCGTTGTCTAGGGACGAGTCGGGTTTTAGGGCTTAGGGCTTGGGGAGGCCTTGCAGTTTCAAGAGTTTTAGGGCTTAGGGTTTAGGGTTTAGGCTGATCTAAAGGTCTTGGTCTGTACGCAAAACGGACGCTCGCAACCTGAAACAAAGGCGTGCGGTGAAAGTCCACCATGATGTAGGTGTACCAAACCCTAAACCCTTCATCCCTTCATGAATCCTAAGCCCTAAACCCTCAAGCACCTAGTCCCTAAGTCCTTACTAAGGGCCTGGACGTAAAGGAATAAGGCCTAAGTCTCAGCCCTTGCATGCTCTGACCCTATGCTTACGAAGAACTAGTGTCAACCCTGAACCCGAAACCCTAAAGCCTAAGCCCTATACCCGAAGCAGCTAATCCCCGAAGTCTCAGAAATTGGGGTGCAAGCCCCGGATTCTCGAGGTGTTTGCCGCCCTTGCTGCGGAGGCTGCTGGAGGCATACTGGTACCGAAGAGGGCAGGGCTCGCTGTTCGTCGTAGGAAACCCTACGGTTTGGGGGTCAGGGTTCAGGGTGTAGGGTTTGGGTATTAGGGTTTGGGGTTTGAGGTTTGGGGTTTCGCCTTAAACGGTGACCCCGAACCCTGAAACCGT